TCAGGGAGCGCGATAAGAAACCGAGGCCAAGTGTCCATGGGAAGAGGACAGAGGACCTCAATGCGGGCCTCCCGTCCCGTGGAACATTACCCAGGCTTCACAACGGAAGGACATTCCGACGCAGGGTGAACCCAGAGGACACCGCGCTAAGTGCAATAAGCCAGTCACAGAAGGCCAAGCCTGTGTGATTCCGCTTCTCCCAGGGACCCTGCGTGGTCACAGCCACGGAGACAGAAAGTAGACGGAAGGTGGGTGCTGGCGGCTGGGGAGGAGGGTACGAGGTGGGAGTTAGAGATTCAGCCTCACAAGATGAAAAGTCCTGGAGGTGGGCGGCGGCAAAGCACAACCGGGTGAATGTACTTAACGTCCCTGAACCGCACACTTAAAAATGGCTAAAATGCTACACTTGATGTTACACGTGTGTTCCCGTGACTTTTAAAAGAGAAATAGAAAAATCATAAACCGGCGAGCCTTCCCTGGTGGCTCTTGGGCACCCTGGTGCCCCCCGCGGAGACCCCGGCACACACCCCTCTCGTCAGAGGCGTGCCGTCCCCAAACAGGTGGGCCCAGACGCAGCACCAGGCCTGAGGACACTGGTGCAGAGGTCTCCAGGTGACAATGCCGGGAACGAGGGGTCCCTCCGCTGGGCACACCCCACATCGCGTCAAAGGCTCTGCTGCTGATGGCGATGGCCCCCTTTGAAAGAAGAAGGTTCCTGTCCCCAGCCCAGGCCTCCCTTCCTGAGCCCCAGGCCTAGCTGAGGTCTGGACACATCACATAAACCATTTCCCCCGGGGCAGGTTCAAGGCACCACCATGCCCCTTGACCCACCCCCCTCTCCAGGGGATCATCATCTGCGATGACCCCCATGCTAGTGGGGAACCTCAAGGACATCTGCCTTCGTCACCCTTCTTCACTCCCACATCCACCTAATCACTGCGCCCGTTGAATCCACCTTGAAAACGCTGCCGGCCTCAGCCCCAGCTGGCAGGAAACATGCTACGTAACACAAGGAAACGTTCTTAATAGCCAGAGGCCCAAAAGCAGAGCCAGCAGCTGCCGGTGGCCACCTGCGGCCTGTCTGTGCAGCTGGCCAGACCCCGCCACCAGGTAGATCCTAGATTCCTGTTCAGCGCGGGCATTTCCATCCCACGTGCCTTCAGTCTTGGCCCAGATCACCCACCGCCTCCCGCGTGTTCCCAGAGGTGCCCAAGGCTGTGACATCCCACCTCCTCCACCCGTCTCCCCGACGGTGAATTCAAGCCGGTTAAGGCTGAGTTTAGGTCGGTCGGGTCCAGAGCTTGTGACAAACCATTTCCACAGCCCCTGCCACCCAGCTCTGACTCAAATCCTCATGGCGGGGGCGAAGCCAGGCCTGTGCCTATGGGTGACCCGGTTTGTCTCATGACCAGCAGACTCAGTGATTTGTTGAGCAGTGAACAGAACTTCCAAATACGAAACAAGTAAGAAGCTTTTCAAAGGCTCTCAGGCAAGTAGGGGGGCGGGACAACAAGAGAGATCCCCAACGGGCCACCGCCCTTCCCTCGTCAAAGCCAGGAAGCTCCCTCAACTCCGAGTCAGGAAGCGAGCGCTTCTCCTGACTTGCCACCCCGGGGAGTCACGGGCCCCCTCTTTGGGACTTGGTGCTTCCTTTAAATGCTTCTTAGGAAGCGGTTACAGGTGACCTGACATCAAGCCTGAGACGGGCTTCCTACAGTCACAGCCTGCGCGGGTGCACGCATGTGTGCCTGTGTGCAGGTGTACACAGAGACACTTGAAGCTGGTGAGGGAACCTTACATACTCTTCTCTCAACTTGAAACTTTCCATGATAATAACATTTTTCATTTAAAAATTACATACTTCTTGAAAAAAAAAAAGGCTAAGTCGATGGAAGTGGCATCCTGCGCCAGTGACGGGCTTGGGCGCCGAAATTGGAGTTAGAGCATCGCTCCGCCCCTCAAGCGTGGCGGCTGTGGCCAAGTCCTGTGGCCGTTCCAGCCTCAGGAGCAGGCGGATGGCGGGAGAACCTGCTGGTGTCCAGGGTTCTTAGGAGAAATCAAGGGTGAATGTGTCGAGGACTCACATCAGAGCCTGGTTCTGGTACACACTCTAACTATCTCCTGCAGTTATTATTACCACGACTGCCACCATCATCGTCAAGCAAGGTCACACCTGGCACCTGGCTACAAGCGGGACTTTTACTCTTAGGTGGGAGGGATGCTATCAGGTAACTGGGACTGTTGAAAGTCCAAAAGAGAAGCCCCTTTGCATCTGTATTTTGTCGGTCAGGCTTGTGGGCAAGAACGGATTCGGCGCCCTACACAGGCAGAGGCCCGCCCGTTCCTACCCTGTCTTTCAGTCTGGTAAAGACGCTCATTCTCAGACTTTTCAGGAACAAAAAGATAAATCGATTCACGCATACCACAACCTGTTTCTTGAGAAGAACTAGTGTGAAATTCCCAGACTGAACTTGTGGACACTGTAAGGATCCGAGGTTTGACTCAACGTGAAAACGGATCGGCAGGCAAGTCCCTGCTCAGCCAGGAGGGGCGGTAGGCGCCAGGGACCGGGCCCCGCACGGGGAAGAGCGCGTCCATCCTTCTCAGTGAGCAGGGGCCAGCACTGGCCGCCTCCACCTGGACCCCGACCCTGCGGCTCCTGGTCCACAGGACAGAGTCCGCAACGGCGCCGACTCCCCAGGGGCAGCCCTGGAGAGCCCGCTGAGGGGTGGCTTCAGCCTTGCTGCAGTAGCCCAAGGAACGGGCCTCACCCAGCCCCAAAGTGACATCACCAGGGGCCCCTGGCGGGACTTCTCCTTCCTAAGAGCCCTGGAACCTCCAGACGCCACTGTTTCTTCCCGGATCCCCAACCTCCCTGACGCCACGTGTGTCCCCTGCTCGTGGCTCTCAGCGCCACTGCCATCCATGTGCCACGGTCTTTTGTCTCTGTGCTTCCCTGGGAAAGAAAAGGGAAGCCACTGTCAAGCGACTGCCTCGGGCCAGTCCACGCCCCCCATCTGTGCACACGCGTGTTCGCTCTCTCCCTCTCCCTCCATCTCCTGGGTAAAGCACTCCTTGCAGAAGCAAAAGCAGTGAGGGAACCAGAGACGTGCTTAAAACGATCTAATCCAGCCCATCACTCTACAGCTGGGGCGGCATGAGCGCCTGTCCCGTGACCTCAGCTCTGGGGACAGTGACCAACGACAACAGCTAGGATCCTGGAGACTTGGTCCGTGGCCCTGGCTGTGCACTTTGGGTCGTCGGCCACCCTCTCTGAGCCTCTGCTGGGAAGACACCCTGGAAGTAAGATCGGGCTTCCCCAGCCCCTCGATTTTCCCAGGGGAGAAGCCGGCCTCTGCCCCTAAAGCTTAATCCCGCCACCCAGACTGAGAGCACCGGGAAGACACTGGCGGAGAAAGACACTGCCCTTTCCTCGCTTGCTGTTCCCCTCTCCCCTCTCCTACCCCAGGAGAGACTTCCTCCAAAGACACCACACCCCAGTCACTGGGATGGCCGCTGTACCACCAACACCTGCTAACACTCACTCATGACCAGTGTCTCAGGCTACCGGCTGGAGCGTTTAATTAAACATTACTCACTCGGGAAGCAGCCCCTGCCAACTCACCCCCAAACCGTCCAGTTCATTTTCGGAGAAAGAGAGGGAGGGAGGGAGGGAGGGAGGGAGAGCTGCCTGCACCCTCCTTAGCAGGCACCCATGGGGCCCCCTGAGTCCAGAGCGGGGGTCGGGCAAAGCCCACAGTCAGGAACCAGAGGCGCCACTGCCAGGTGACTATGGATGGCACACAGTCACCCCACCCGGACGCACTCAGAGACACACACTCAGACATGCTCACGTGAAGGAACTCAGAGTTCACACACACACTCAGATGCACTCAGAGACACATGCAGGTACATGCACACAGAGACACTCAGACACACTCACACACACACTCACTGATGCCCTCAGAAACACACACTCACACAGAGACACGGATGCACTCAGAGACACACAGGTACCCAGGCACACTCATACCTCAGGCACACACATGCACTCTGATACCCGTTTACACACCTGCTCACACACACCCACAGAGACGAGTGCACAGGACACGCTCACACAGACGTCACGGGCTCAGGCACACAGCACCTCACTCACACTCGCCACTTGCAGTCTGACCGCAGGCCAAGCGGGGCGTTCACACTCCGAGGAGACTTTGCCGAGAACTTGAACAGCACAGCTACCGAGTCCCCGCACACGCTCGGGGCAGAGAGATCCCACGGTTCCACCGACGGACCCAGGCTGCTCTGGTTTTTCCGTTTTGATTGATTTCCTGACAGAACACTCGGCTCTCCCTTGGTTGCCGGGAGAAGCCGCGGTGGCTCCGGGGAGGCGGGAAGGGTGGCGCCGCCGGGGTGTCGCCCGGCGGGCTCCCCGGGGGAGGCGCTGCCGCCCGGGCGGGGCAACACCGAGGGGGCCAGTCGGGTCGTGCCGCAAATGCGGGCCCTGACTGGCGGGAAAAGCGAAACTAACTTTGTGGAGCGGGAGGGGCAGGTCGGTGCTCCCGCTTCTGCCGCGGGGACTGTCGCGGGAACGGGGGGGCCCTGGGGTGCCCCGGCACCTAGAGGTCGGCGGGGGCCGCCACGCGCCCCAGGCGCCTTCGCCTGGTCTGCAGCCGCCGAGGCTCAACCCCGGGCGCACGGCCGTCACGGCGCTGGGACCCCTGCCCCGTCTCGCCCCTGCAGGTGGGACCCGTGGCCGCCGCGACCAGCCCGTGCATGCAACGGCCCCAACGGCAGCGGCGCTGGGCGGCGCCCGACCCCATTTCCCGGGACCCGCGGCGAGAGAAGACTCCTCGCGCCCCCTAGGTCCCAGGTCGGGACCCCACCGGTCCCCAGTGCGCAGCCCCGCGCCCACCGACTCGGTCCCCAAGTGCCGTGATCCCCGCGCCCACCCCGCCGGGCCCCGCAGCCACCCGGTCCCCGCACCCGGCCCTGCCTACCGCGCCGGGGAGGCCGCTGCCGCCGCCCGTTCTCCGGGACCGAGAGGCTCGGGGCGCCCGCCGCAGGGAGCGAAGTCGCCTCCTCCCCGCGGCCCCGGCGCCAGCGCCTGGAGCCTGGTTCCTGCTGCAAGCGCGCGGGCTGCCCGAGCGCGACTTCTGTGCAAAGAAGAAAAAGCGACCTAAGCCTTTAAAGTGAAAAACGAGAAAAGCGCCAGGGGCGGGGCCGGCCCGATGAGATCCCGCCCTCGCCCCGCCCCGCCCCGCCCCGGGGCTCAGGCGCGCGAGTCGCTGCGCACCGCCGGGGTGCCCGAGGGTCCTGGAGAGGGGAGACGGGGATTCTGGCTCGGACCCCGCAGGGCTCCACGTGCCCCGCGCCCGTTCGGCCTCCCCTCGCCGGCGTCCCCACCTCGCCCCACCCGGAGGCCTCCAGGGCGCTCGGGGCCGTGGCTGAGCGGGTGCGGGGGGCGGCGCCGAAGCGTCGGTCCCTCCGGAGGCGTCTTTGGGAAACGCCGGGCGGCCTCCGCTGGGCCAGAGGCCGGGGTTGCAACACCCGCAGGGCCGCCGCGGCAGTGCCAGGCCCCGGGAGAAGGGGGTGGGGGGCTTACTGATAATAATTTTTTAAATCTCTTGGGAGAGTGAGGGTTGTTTTCAGTAACCTCGGAGCAAGGCCTTGCTTGCCTCATCTGAAATTCCCAGCAGTTTAAAGTTCCGTAATTCTAGGGCACAGGAGAGGAGTTTGTGGGCCGGCAGATAAGCCAAGGACTCCCCCGCTCTGCTTTGGCACCCCCACCCCCACTTCCCCGACACATTTCCGTTTCGTTACCCACAAGGGACAAGGGTCTCCGGACTCAGACGCAGGGCCTGGCTACCTGGCCATCCCAGCGCCTCATTGCTCCAGGCGTACAACAGGCTGTGAATGAATGCATGAGCTAATGTCCCCATCCCGGAGGACTTCATACAGCGTGCTGTGGCCCTAGCTCATCGAAGGAATTTTCCTCCCCATGCCCACTGCATAGTAGCCACTTGCACCCTAGAACTGGGAAGCTTTTGAAGAAACGACTGTTTTAAGAATAAAATCTTACATTTCTCCACTCCTCGCTGTGTGTAGAGTCCATTGAAGGGAATGGGGAATTAGCATTATTGGAGAAGTGGTTATAAACAATAGTTTCTAGTTATTTCACCCTTACCAGAACCTGTAAGGGTGGGACTGTTTTACTCATTGTACAGATGAGGAAGCAGTAAGCGGCCAGAGGCCCTGCCCTAGCAGAGCTTGGAGCCCAGCTGGACTCTGTTAGTTTCCCAAGTTCAATGTCTTCTCACCTCACTGTGCTGTAAATCAGTTTTGAATTAAAAATAAAAAAATAATAAAAAATATATATATGGTAGCTCAACTGGCTGCCATGGGCAGGGGGCCCTGAGCGGGCATTCGGGCCGCTCAGCTGACACTCCTGGTTCAAATTCTCTAGGGACGTGGAACCAGGCTAGTCCGGTGGGCAGCCGCTGTCGGCAAGCCAGAGGTGCTTGGAATTTAAAAAGGCATGTGACTCCTTTCAGTCACTCTGCAACCTGAGAAGGGTGCCTCGTCGCAGGATGTCACGGCATGTGGGAGAGCTGTGAAAACACAGGATGGGGGGGGCGGTATTTCCAGCTTATTGGTGTGTACACCCCAGAGTCTCGTCTTGAAAAAGCACGGCCCGCTCTGTAAGAGAAGCTTCCCTTCTCTTCGCTGAAGGAGTAACCATGATCAATGTGTTGTGCACGGAGTGTGTCCCCCTACCAGGTGCTGTCCTCTCGCGGGGCGGCTTCTCTCCCTATCCTGAGGACACGTTGCGGAACGGACTGGAGCAGACTGAATCAGAATGGACGTGATTCAAGTGGCAGGGTCTGGTTGTCTGGGGCCAGAGAACCCGCCTTTGATGGATGGGAACCTTGACAGACAGTTCCCATCCTTGAGGTCCCTGGTGCCCCCCCCCCCCCCCGCTCCCCTGCAGCATTAATCTTGAAATCCCAGCTCTGATCCACTCGGGTAATTAGGTCCTGCTGACCTAAATTTCCCAAAGGAGTCCCTGGGGAGCGAGCCTTCCTCCCCTCCAGGACATGAGGCAGGTGGGCCCATGAAGCCAGGAGGCTGGGCATCCAGCAGGGACCCCAGCAGCCTGGAGCAGCAGGGGGTGACGGTGAAGACCAGATTGTGCCCCTGTGTGTGCATCATATCATTGCTGATACTATTGTTGGTTAAAAGATACATAATCTTGCAATATGGCGACATCAGCTGATAAAACCCCATCCAGGAATTTGCAGGCTGACTCAAGTCTTCAACGAAGTACAATGTCTCTGTTCCACAGGGGTGAGGAGGAAGCAGGGTGACTCTGGCTCCTGGTGGTGCAACCCCCCCCCACCCCCACACACATTTCATCACTTGCATCAGTACAATTTGTTCACATCTCTAATCTCTCTTAGGAAAATGATGGGGGAGAAATTAGGAGATAGATAGCACATGACCACCAGCTGCTTTTTCCGATGATGAAAAGTCTGTCCAGAGATGTCTTGGGAACCCTTTGGGCCCAGAGAGCAGAATCCTGCTGCCTTCATTAAGCATTAGGGACCCCTTTTCTCCAAGTCTCTTTGTTTATTGGAGCAAATGGGCAAAGAATTTGGAACTAGACAAACCTAACCAAACCCCAGCTCTGCCATTCACCAGCTGTGTGACCTTGAGCAAGTTACTTAACCTCTCTGAGACTCAGCGTCCTCATCTGTAGAATAGCTCTACATATTTCCCAGAATTTGAGGGAGGGGGGAGGGTGCAATCGGTCAACAAATATTGAGTACAACATGCAGGAGATTGTGTTAAAATGAAATCAGAGGGTTTTGAGGGATTTCAAGATAATAGGCACATTTTACCTATTATTATTGACAGTAATAAAAAGAGGTTTCCTGAAAAAGCATGGGACCCATTAACACAGAAGTGTGGCAAGATCCACCAGAACAGAAAGAACACTGAAGAGCATTAATAAAATTCAGGCCTATTCTGTATCCCTAACATAAGATTTTTTTTATCTCATGGAGTGAAACTGAATAGAGTGGCCCTTATCTTACAGAAATGAATTAGTGCATGGATTCATTTCATAGGCTCTTTGTCCTTAAGCTGGGGGTTTCATGCAAGATCACATATTAGATGGTGACACCTGCTGGCGAAGTGTGATATTGCAGTGTAGCTCTATCAGACATTGTCACCCAACAGAATGAAGGGATGATGCAGTTTCTGAGGCCTCTAAATGAGACACTGGGTGATAAAGAGGCTTGAGGAAAACACCTATAACTTTGAAAAGAAATTAATAAATAAGTGGCTTTGGACTTGTGACAATAATTATTGCAAACTTCTTCGAAAACACTTCCAGTGAAATAAAAAGAAGCAGGCTGTGACTTTGATGCGACTTAACTTGTCACCTTTCAACTTTCTTTCAGTGTATTCGCCCACCCGGGGCCGTCTGCAACGTTATAGTAAAACTCCATTAAAACAATATAATAAAGCACCCCTCCAAGTATTCAGTCACTTGGTCCTCCAGTATTTATTTATCTTTACTAAATATTGAGAGAATAAATATGGAACAGCACTATTCTGCCTGCTGGAGAGCGAGTAGTAAATGAAATGCTCTGAGCTCCTGGCCTTAAAGACTTTCCTTTTAAGTCGGAGAGACAGACGATACACAGGAACTGGACCGTTTCAGACAGTAACAAGTGATGATAAAGAGTCATTTTATATACATTTGCTCTGCGGCCTATTTTTTCTTTAGACAGAGAGAGGCCTGCATGTATATGCTACTATACAGGAAGCTCACTATACACTCTGCATTCTACCCGCATCATCTCATACACCCCTCCTATGAGGTAGGTATTAGGACTATTTATATTTTATGACGGAGAGATCTTCCAAATTTGCTAGCATTTGTGCCTTGGTGCCAGGAAAGACTTTTCCTGGGTGTTGTGTCCCCCATCAGAGGGGAGGTGCCCAGACCAGAAAATCGCTTGAGGCCACCTTTGACAAAAACAGGAACAAAGCTTAACAAGAAGTACACTGAGCCAAGTGAAAAACAACAAACTTAGTCTGTGTGACGCTCTAAACCAGGAGCCTAGACCTGAAGGCACCAGCTAATGTTCTTGTTCCCTAATTTTCTGTGACTGAGTTTCTACTTCTCTGGGGGCATTTATCCATGTGCAATGAGAGACGTTTGCTACCGCACAGACAGACGCCTCCTTACTCAAGGGCGACACAATTATCCAATACTGTTGTTGCCAATGAGTCAAGTCATCTTGCCGAGCTGAAATTGCTTGGCTGTGGAAGCGGCCAGCTCTCCTAATGTTAGGGAGAAATTTCTGATTGTTTGTTCACTGGCACTTGCTCCAGTCCATGGAACGAAAGCTCTCCCTGCGGAGGCAAACCCAGAATCACACAGCCTCCTGGGAGTCCTCAGTTAAGGCAGGGTTAGAGGTCTCATGGGATGAGCCAATGGGAGGCTGTTGTTTTGTTAAAAAAAAGAGGAATAGGCCCTGGCTGGTGTGGCTCAATGGATTGAGTGCTGGCCTGAGAACCGAAAGGTCTCTGGTTCAATTCCCAGTCAGGGTACATGCCTGGGTTGCAGGCCAGGTCCCCAGTTGGGAGCGTGTGAGAGGCAACCAGTTGATGTATCTCTCACACATTGATGTTTCTCTCTCTCTCTCTTCCTCCCTCCCTTCCCCTCTCTTTAAAAGTAAATAAATTTTTCTAAAAAAATAAAAAAAAGAAGAGGGAATAGGATAGTGAGTATAGCAAGGGCATGTTGTCCTCTGATTCTCTGGCTCTCAAAGCAGTGACTCAGCCAAGCATTAAGGCTGTCACCAAAACCTACGGGAATAAAGGTGTAGCCAGGAGGCATGCAGAGGGCTTCAGCATAAGGGGCAGTGTCCGCGGGCCTGTTCTTTGGTATACTGGCTTCACATCGCTCAGCCAAAGCTCAGATACTGCACTTTACATAGTGAAGGGCTGCTTAAATATATGGCCATGTCAGCAAGCTTACAAATGGCCTGATTCCTGTTGGTTGCCCCGGAGTCTAGATTTTTGAGAGACCATATTTTCCTATGCCAGGGGTGTGCCGGGGCGGACTAGATTGACTCAAGTCACGAGGA